AACCAAGCAAATCAACTTAAGATGAGAGTTTTTTGACACCAAGGCCCGCAAGAAGACAGAAAGAGCACAGAAGAGACAGAAACACACACACACACACACACGCCTAGTGCCTCTACTCCTCGCACCTCCATTCTTGACGTGGGCTTTTCGTACACGCTTCGATATATGCATGTAACCACTCGTAGCCCTTAGTGACACACACACACACACCCCTCCAAGAGACCCGTAAGAAAAACCTACTTTGTCCCAAACGAGTGCTCACTGAGAGTCTGGTGGCCTGATTGATGCCCGTGAGCGGAAACCATAAAAAGTGACGCTGCAGAAACGCAAACGAAAACCGTCGAAAGCCGTCGAACTCCGTCGACGTCCGTCGAAATCCGTCGAAATCTGCGGACCGGTGCTATCTCCGCGCCCGCTCGCTTCTCGCTTTCCGTTGCTTGCCGGACTGGTTTGCAGACTTCTTTGAAGTTGCATTCTGTCGTATTGGGCGGTGGATTTTATATAAAGTAAATCACCCTCTGTAAACCAACTTGCTGTGGTGGGTTTCCTACTTTCAAGCAGGAGGGTCACCAGTCAGCCAAGCCATGGCCACGCTCCTTGACGTGCTACAACCTGGTCCCGGGGCAGGTTTCTAGGTGTACTGTAAATTAATCTTGGATAATCTGCAAAGACTGGGCATCTCACCTCACCTTACGTCTGAAGAACACTTATCAATCATTAATGTAAGTCCGTATATCTAGAGTCTAGAGTCCCGAAAATGAGCACAGAAAATGAGGTCGTGAGTGGAGGATCAACTGGATCCCCCTTGGTGTTTACGCCATCAATTTTGATGAGTGTTGATCCCCACACCTCAGTTGGTGAGTTGATGTGGAACACCCAGCCTCACCCATCTCCACCTCTTGGGCTAAGCAGCTCCTCGACCTCCACCGGCTTCACAGCAGCCGCCGCACGGCGGATCTGCGCCGACCAAAGGGGACCAGTGGCTGGAGTAGTAATGGCCTTTGCTCCCTAGTAGCTTCTTGTTCCTAGTAGCGATGCCAGGAGCCCCTAGTAGCGATGCCCTTGCTCCTAGTAGCGTCCTTGCTCCTAGTAGTAAGGCCAGGAGCCCCTAGTAGCTTCTTGTTCCTAGTAGTAATGCCAGGAGCTACTAGTAGCTTCTAGCTACTAGTAGCGATGCACCTTGTTACTACAGTGAACAAATCCTTACTGATCTTGAGTACAGCTTTGATAAGACTGACTCTTGAGAGGCGGGGCTCCCAGTTGGTGGCAGTTGGTGAGAATAAGTTCATCTTGCCGCACAATGGCCACACGGCAACACCAAGCCCTTTTCAAGAGCCAAGAGCTTCTCTACAGCATGAGCGTTGTGAACCATCCCGAACGCTTAGGGGCACACTTCCACCCTCAAGACTCACTAAAAAAACCATTTCCCAGCCAATTTGCTGGAAGTCTTCTCCTACAATTCAGAGTCACATGCAATTCAGAGTCTCCTAACTTGCCTACAGTGGAAATCGATGGTCCGAAAACCGAGCAATTGGTTTTCCACTTCCGCAGTAGGGGGCTTTATGGTGTGCCGGTATTATACATTGTATAAACATGATGTTCTTTTTCATGTTACTTTTTCCCTCCCCTGTTTCCATGTTTTTGCCAACATGTTTTACCCTCCTCTGGGCTGAAGCGTAGAGCCTGGGCTGATGAGGGGCGCTTTTTTGTGGAGCTGACTGAAATGCTGGTGGAGCACAATCGAACAACACACCTGGAGCCAACAAGCACCATGCAAAACCTTTGGTATGTTCTGGTCATGAATTCGTTGATGCAAGTGGAATATTGAATAATGTTGTTCCTTAACCAACTGAGCCAAAGGGTACCATGGACCTCCGCTCCTGTAGCAGTCCTTAGCTGGGAGCTTCCATTTGGGAGAGCCGACTCTTCAGGGATCGGACACAAAAGGACCCAAAGCACCAGAACAAACCAGGGACATGACCTGACGGCCCTTACAGTAACCTTACATGAAACAAAAACTCTACTTGGACCACATGAGATTTGAAACCTCACAAATTTCCCAGTCGTTGGCTTTGGTGTATTCTAGAGTCCTTGAATGCACGGACTTCACCTGTCAGGTCCTTTGAGACTGAACCAAAAGTCGTAGTCCTTGATCGCAGCCGTCCAGGAATCCGTCCAGTGAATGGGAATCCGCGGATATCCGCGGTCTGCATTTGTCACATCTTTGTCCATTTGAACAAGCGCTTAGCCACATGCCCCACGATGCGGAGCGGTCAGGAGCTTCACTGAGCTGGGTCTAGGAACTGGTGTGGTGTCCAGTATTGTGTGTGCGATTGAACTTTTTTGGACATTACGGTGTTATATGGTGTTATACTTATACTTAATTATTTAATATTATATACCATGTGTTTTGTAGTAGTCTGTATCCTCTGAGCAGTACTTCGACCACCCATGCCCATGACTTCTGGACCCGGCTCTGCCCACCCGCCTCTGCCAAGCCCAACCGCTCTTCCACATCCTCTGCTTTTCGTCAGCGAAGCTGCGACGGTGGCAATCTGGGGCTTAGGAGCTGGAATATTGATGTCTCGCAACCTATAAACGGTGTAGAACCCTACACCGTGAATCTCAAACAGGGGCAACATGGGGCAACGCTTCTTCTCTGGGTGCCGGAAGCTCCAAAATCCCCATCCGTTATGTAGGAATGTAGGGGATCGCCAACTGAATACATGATCTATCAGTTCGCAACTTCCATGCAAATGTATGTATTTATATTTATTGTCAAAAGCGAACACCCACAAATTGTGACACGTTAGCTTGCCAAACTAGATGTGAAACACAAGTTTTGAGTAATTTGTGGGGACGGAATGACCAATTAATTATCCCCAAACGAAAGGACTTTGGCCCTTAGCAAGCTCAGTGGACAGACTTGTCTCATGATCGACCGGTCTTCCTCCCTCGTCACCCACGTTAAACGCACTTTTCACGAGTGGTTGCCTTCTTCAGGAGCTGAGAGATCACGGAACGAAGATCCTCTGGACAGCCCTGGATGAAACACTGCACGGCAAGCTCGGGCGATCTCCGATGACAAAGCAGCCAGGAGCCCCTAGTAGCTCCTAGTAGTAAGGCCAGGAGCCCCTAGAAAAATAAGGGTATGAGTTGATGTGAAGACAAATCTGACAAATCTACATGGACCTACATGGTAAGTCATCACTGGGTCAGCTGGTTGGCTAGGTGCCAACCATCCCCAAATAATGATACAACATAGTTAATTTGGAAAAACATAAGCATTAAAAAGGCTGCAACACCTGGTCTAATTCAGAACCAAGTCAGGTTTTACCATTTCAACATATTTCAACCCTGTATTCTGTGACCCTGTATTCTCAAAGTCATCTCCTGTTTCACATGTGACCGAACTGTAGATGCCATGGTAGCTGCCGAGCATGCCGCGCCTGCGGCAAGGGTTCTTCCCCCTCCTCCACGATCTGCTTGGCGAGTGCCAGCTGATTGTTGGCCTGGACAGATCCGCTGGTGTCGGCAGATTTCGGATCCGCGGATCCTCCCCACATGACATGCGCTAGCTGTGAAAACAAGCTGTGAGAATGACCTCTGTGCAACACGACACATTGGTCTTGTGGGTCACCTTGTTGCTGCTTGTTCCCACCATTCCAGAGCGACTAATCCTGTCTCCTCACCACCCAAAACCCAAGTTACTTCCAGAAATCCTTATCGATGTCAGCCATTCGCGCTCATCCACATGTTTTCTTCCAACAACCCCTTACAAATCCTCATCCAGTTTTGTTCGGCTCGTTCTTTCGACTCCCAACATGTAACACACTATGTTTACACCACATTAAGATATCATTAGATGCATCCCCCTTCAGTTGGTGTCTCATGTGAGGCCCCAGGCCTTGGGTTGCGGAACCCCAGTCCTCGCGTGTCCCGCGCGCATGCTCTCCTCAAAGGGTCTCCGCAAGGACGCCATCTCATAGAGACCTCGAATCAGTCCCGATGTCGGTGTGGGGTAGAATTCGTAGAAGTCATACAGCAGCCATGGTTCCATGCGTTTGGTTTGGAGGTTGCTCGTACATTCAAACTAAGTCTGATCCTGTGTTTTCAAGCTTTCGTAGCTTCGTGGGCGGTTGGTGGACGTGGCATAAGTGTGCCGCGTCAATGAGGGGAATGTAGATGTAGGATTCATCCCATTGAGTTAGCAGCTCAAGTTGAATCAACAAGTTTTGTCACTAATCATGAGAAGGGCAAGGCACCATCCATTCACATGATTCCTTGTCACCAAGCGCCTTGATGGGGCCCATGAGATGAGAAACTTCCCTCATTCAGAGCTGCATCAGCTCGTAGAAAACGGCAAGCACTGAGAACAACGGACACCTACGGTTCAAAACCAGTCAGCTGCGAACATGGGTCCGTGCTAGTTTTCCTATACTAAAGGTTCTTTGGGCAAAATTTGACCAGTGATAGTATTCGTGTGATGCCCTGATGTGAGGTCCGTCCATGATGAGACCACGTTGTTACCGCCAACGAAAGGACACCAACTGTTGACCGTTGATCGACAAATTCACCTGCAGTTCCCTCAAATATGTCAGAGATCACAAGTTTCTTAGGTAGGGGAGCTGTTCCTTTTGGCGACTTTCCTCTACAGCAGGGTGCTTTGGCCATCCATTTTGACAGATTCACTTGCACCACTCAGAACTGGCCATTTCTGGCCGGTGCCCCGTCGGTCTCGGTGTCCGGGTCGCCGGACAGACCCCCAATGCCCAGGCGTCGCTCGCGGGGCCGTAGAGGCGCCCACAGACCTGAGTCGAGGTGAAGGCAAAAGATGGGGAAGTTGAGAATCTATGAGACAAAGATTATGTATAATGTATAGAAATGTTTATCATTATATATATATATATGTTATATTGTAATATATATATATATATTCATATCAAAATAGTATATAATTGAGACAACATATGATCCATTATATTCTATTATGATATATATAGTATTGTATATATATGTACGGTATTAATTAATATTGATTTGCAAAAGTATCTCTGAGAAGATGCATCAAGCCTCTTAGGACCATGACAACAACGGTCCTTAAAAAGGGAGTTGGAGGATGATCTTCCTTGAGCAGGTTGTTCCCGTCAGTTTGACGGAGCGCCTCCACTCCATGCGTGCGTCCATCCAGTCATGAAACATCACCTGCTGGTTATGGTTTCCACGCACACTCAAACAGCTTCTTCCATCAAGCCATATGCAGGTTGCTTGGGGGAAACCAACTACTTACCAACTGATATAATATAGTAACAAGTGCCACGCTAGGTAACAAGTGCATCGCTATAAGGCCGTAGTTGGTTCCTATTTACACCACACAGTCTCACATCACCACACCCGAGCCGAGCCATGTGCCATGTCCAACGATACACCCAACCGGTCAGGTCTGGATCCGAGTCGGTCCCACATCCGGGTTGGCCGTATTACAGGTTGGATTATCAGATCGAGAAGTGGCTAAATGGAGCCAAGTTCGGAGTGAACGCAGTCTTCTGAACCTTCCCACCAGAAAGCTGCCGTTGATATTCATAGTGCTATGGCTGTAGGTTGAATATAGTTACTGTGTGTGCATGCAGGATGCCAAGTATCTTGAAGGTATATAAGTCTATAAATGGTTCAGGTGGACACGGGGGAACCTTTCGTTTATTCTTGTGAACAACTCGATCTCAATCAAACACCTCAAATACCGGCAACACCGCTTTGGCACGTGCGGGATCCACAAATTATTGAGATCATTTGTCACCCACCATCGACTTCGAAATGTCTGCTCACGTGACTCATATATCCTGTCAAGTCAAAGTCAAAATACCAAATCCAGCGGTGCGCCCTCTGGGGAACCCCAGCCATCTCAGGAGACATGTAGTGTGGGGTTCCCGTCGTCTTGGCCTTGGCCACCGAGGCGAAACGGAGTTCACCGCGTGCGTAAGCCCCGAACCGGGGGGCTTCGGTGTGCGTGTTGGTTGAGCAAGATGTTCGGTATTAGTGAAGAACATGATGAACTCATGTTTACTGTTGATTAAATAAACCGGCAATACTAATGGATCGAGATGTAAAACGTGGTAAGCAAAATAACACAATCTTGTAGGGGGGCTTTATTAATCAGCAGTCCTTCGGATCTGTCGCTGAAACCAGTTGTGTTTCCAAAGACCGAAGGCTTCGGCAGGATCAAAGGTTCTGTGCCGCAATACCTCAAAGCTCCCACCAAAGAGCCCCCCCCTCACACTCTCCATCCCCTCTGATCAACATGAACCCCCCAACAACCTTGAAATTAGAGGAAAACAACCATCCACGTCCACTTCACAAGCATCTTGGCTGCTGTGCAGCTGACAGTCCACCTTCAAGCCAAAACAGTTGGCCCTGGTCGGAGGGAGGTCATCCCCATCCTCCACCTTCACCCGCCAAACCGTCCCAGCGACGTTGAGGGCACCCTCCAGGGGGATCGCCACGCCGAAGTCCGCAAGCTTGATCTCCAGGTGAACACAAACACCGGGAGACGATCTGATTCGAGTGGACGATTTGGGCGAGACCAGCGAAATGAAGTGAAAACGCTGACTCATTCGGAATCTTCCTTGGGCTGACTCATGAGCCTCATTCAACCTATTACAGTATACAGTATCAACCTCAGATTTGAACATAGGAAGTGGAATATTGCCGCCTGATACACGAGCTCCTCCTCTTGCCGGCAACAATATGGTTAACATCTATTAATCAATCATTAAACAGCCATTTGGGATCTTGTTACTTCGCATCACAGCCCACATGACCACATCATTGTGGGCGAGTTCGTTGATCCATGGCCCCAACGAACAACCATGTCTACAATTTGGGCGCTGATGCGTTCCGATGCGTTCCGTCTACTTCAGGCACCCGAAGAGGATTTTCCTCTTCAGTTATTCCTGGTTGATATGCAAACTATAGCAATTACACAAAGGTGAAAAAGGGTTTGCATCTCAGTCGAATCGTGGGAATGCCAGAAGTGACCACAGCAACAAATAATTTCAGAAGCATGTCTTGGTGCCTGATCCAATGTTCCGAAGCCTTCTTCTGTGTTTCACAACATGTTCACCAGCAACCTCTGCGCCGGCAGACCACGCCTGCGTCGGGCTTGGATCCAGAAGACCTCGCCGAGCCAGCAAGAGATTGCCCGGCTTCACCTGGCGCGATCCAAGACACCGACCATCCGACAGTGGCGACACGTTCGCACCCGGGAGGCCCAGTGGTGTCACCGGGTGATCGGTAGAAACGTGTCTAGTTGAAACATCAGTAGTGACATGGGGGGTCTCTAATTTCTTGGAGACACACTGCCACATTGATACAACAATATACTCATGAAACCTGATTCCAGGATCCAACGAGGGAGGTTATCTGATGCAAGTTGAGCAGAGTTGTCTCCGCCCAGCAGAGTTGACGGTCATAGACTGGCAGAGTGAAGGTCATGGACTGGACACATGGTGGTAGAAGTGCTACAGTGTCGAATTTGAATCAGTACTTTGTTTTTGACAGAAAGGTTCACTCCTCATCCATGTTCATAGATCATAGATCTCACATGATGTCACTTTTAGCCGATATTAGCCGGTTCCCGCATGTTCCGTTCCACATCTCGCAATAAAAACACGCTGGCGAGGCATCGCGATGTAAGAGGCCCTCTTGATGAATGAACCGGAGGGCGCTGGCAATGGCAGCCAACACCTGATGCGTTTGCTGTCTTCGATTGTCCATCACCGCGGTATTTTGGTGGACAATGACAAACACAAAACGTCAGGTGGTGGATAGGAACCAAACGGGTTACCTACAATAGTGGAGTTTCCAGATATGGTTAGTTAGCTCAGCTATGTAAACTAATTTAGATGAGGATCCAGGATTCCAGGATTTCCGTCAATCCTTTTGACGCTCGAGACACCAAGTCCTATACATTCAATTATCTTGCAATTCGAGCTTTTAGAGAGCCACCCAGTTGTCACCCTGGTGGCCTCGCCCCACAACGGGTCGGATCCGCTCCAGATCCACCGGGTCCACCCGAGGCATCTGCCGGGCGCACAAAGTTGCCCCCCAAAGGCCCTGCGCGAGCGCTCAAGCGTTGCGCCAGCACCTGCAGTGCGCCAGGAGTTCAAGCCCACCATTATGGCCCTACTTTTGGAGAACCTGCCAGTTGGGGCAGCTGTTTGGGAAGGTTCCATACTCTTCAAGATTCGTGTAGATAAGCTATGATAAGCTAGTATACAAGCCAGGTTGATGTGCTTAGTGACTGGCTGGGTGACAGATACTTATTAACTTATGAACAGGACCACTGAAACACCGGCAAGAATCAAGAACATCTTCCCACCAACAAATCCCAGTCACTTCCTCTACCTGTACCTCAGATAAAGGATATCCATCAGGGTTCCAGGTACTGCAAGATACAGTAGATTCTTTCAATCCTATCCGGAACCAATTGACGGCCCAGCGATCTCCAATCCACCGTCCACTTCTGCAGATCCCGAAAAGCACTGCACTGCACAAACTCTGCTGATTTTGAAGGCTAAGCATCCCTTTTTGTCCCGTTGCTTCCAGAAAAGAAAGCGGGGGAATGCATGTCGTGTGAATATGATTGAATACCTTGTCTGACCCTAAAGTCATCTTACAACTTTACAGATTAAAACGTATATAAGCGACTTTAATGGCAACATCTAAAGCCAAACATAGTCAATTCATTGTTGAGTCGATACTTTGTTTCTATAGACATACCCCCTCGTAGCTTGTTTGTGCATATTATCTAAACATGTGTAGGATGGAAAGTCAAAATTCAGTGTGTTAAAGCACTTATGACAGTGTCAGTCACAAGAATGAGCTGTAGTTGTATAATGGTTATCAATGGGTTTGGCAGGCCTGAATGGAAGCCAGTTTTGGCTGACATGGAGAACTGGATACAGACGGGATACTCTTCAACCTGCCTCAAAAGGACTTGTACAGTCACAAAGGATCACGGCCACCGAGCAGAGATGCATGGAAGACTTAGACCTCCCATTTTTGCTTCCTTAGGAGATCAACCAACCAAGGGGGAGAGCATCAAGGCCGGACCGCCAAAAGGCCATAGACGACGTCTACTACGTGGGAATATCGCCATTGCTGAGCGCCCAGCTGATTGGATATCGCCACCTTCCTGGGAAGCTTCCGGGGGGTATGCAGCAATCCCTTGTTCAAGCACCAAAGTCGTGCATGTGTGTTTTTTATTTTTTGTTTGTTTTTGTGTGTTTTTGAACACTGCACGTGGCTTTCTAGGGACCAATCCGAAAGACAAAGGCTGGATCATGTGTCAAATGATCGTAGCTTTGGGTCATAGCTTTGGGCAAGTGTAAAAGCACATGACATGACGTTTTGCAAGGACTGAGGGCGAAGGGAACAAAGATGGAGCAAGGCTTAACACAAGCAAATGCCAATCCTAAACAATAATGCGTTTAGCCGCTAGCCGCTAGCCTTATGAATCCAATTCCCTCCTCAGCTACTTGGAGATTCCAAACCCATCATAATCACCTCAGCGTCTCAGCCTTCTCACAGGTACCGGGTGGTCAATGGAGAGCCAACAGTAGTCCCAGGGTGCCGCACCATGTACTCCAAGGCCATCCAAACAGCAGCACGACCAGCATCCCAAGAGGTTTCATAGCAGGTCACCTGAGTGTTGCAAGGATTTGTCGCTAAAGCAAAACCTACACAGTGCCACCATGCCATCTGCTGTGCTCGCCCAAAGCAAGTTGAACTACATAATTATGTTTGTAGATCAACGCACAGTAGGTACTTGTGTACTTCCATAATGCTCATTGATCCCCAAATATCCCCAACATCTGTCGCCTACAGTGCAAAGAATGCCACAACATAACAACGAGCAGGCCACAGTAAAGCATCATAAAGAAAACATCACAAAATAGTATGCACTAACAACCTGCTTTCTGTTGCACTGGGTTGCACTCTGCTGGGGAGGAAGGTGTTTCAATTCTTGTTGAGCAGTTCGTTTATTAGCAACAGCATTTTGTGTCCAACCAGAGGAGGATCATAACGTGAACTGTTGGCGCTTCCTCATGATTGAAGTCTTTTGGAGGCTTCGTTTCTCGTGGGCATAAATTTGGATGCCACAGGTGGCACACCAATCATATGTTTTTCAGGATAGTTTCTGTAGAAGTTCTACTACACTAGTGCCTCTAAACACAAACCACAGTAGGAACGACAAACACAGGGGTGTCATTCTTAGACCATCAACCAGGCCATGATGCGATCCCAAATGGAGCGATGCTCTTCTTCACCAAGGAGCGATGCTCGGATGCCGCAAGCGTTGGAGCAGGGCGGCTTCGGCGACGGCCACCTCGAAGTGGCTGAAGTCATCGGGTGCTTCGCAAAGCGGCTGGGGTGGCTGGGCTGTGGCTGGGCTGTGGCTGGGCTGCGGGATCGTACTTAGCTACACGCATGAACAAAGTTCTCATCTACGATCTACAAAGATAAAGAAATATGGAAGGGCATGGAAGGGCCCAGTCAAGGTGAGTTTCTTGTGACACCTTTGGCCTTACGTTTGGGTCTCATCCACCTGCAAGTTCGTCGAACATACGACATGCTGATCCTTCTCAACAAAGGGACGAGTCACACATGTGTATATAGTCATGACTACTCCCAACTTCTATGGCCTCCCATGGCCCTCCCCTGATTTGCGGGTGCTTTGTTTGCTTCATCTCTTCATTGTCATCTATATATCTTATGATTTTCTATCGAGTCCCAAAATGAGAAGTTAGTGTGTGCCACTTTCATTTACTCCTCTAAGATCTGGCATCTCTGATCGGTGAATCTTTGAAGCAAAGTTCCTGTCCGTGGATGACAAACCGACAGCCTTCATTGGGGTCCGACAAGAATTGGGCTTACGTTTGCCAGCACCATATCATACTAGTTGTAGAGAATTAATTTCTCTTGACTTGTGCAGTTTAATTTTACTGTTTCTTTCTTTTTATTATACCCTTCTCTAGGGCTGTGATGGATGAAAAATCTTCAGCGAACCCCTTCTGTCCGGGACCACTCTGACTTTCCTTTTGACCACTTCACATCTCCTGTCTGAATCTCATTCAACTCATTCCAAAAAGTTCTGTGCATCCTGGACCGACAGGGCGCTCCGCGCCCACCTCTTTGGCTGCGCGTGCGGCAGCGACATCTAACTGGTCGCATGGCACTACCCTCAGCGGCACGGGGGTGTTTGACACACCAGGATTGACCGGCTCGTAGGTCGTAGAAAGAATGCACTACCTCCTTGTATTTCTATGTATTTCTACTTGGGCGTGTAGTGTGTTCAGTGTACAGCGAAATACCGAAAATTGTGGCTTCCAAGTCAGGAACATCTTTCCTGTATTGCCGTCAAATTCGATACCCGAATCTATGTTGGACCGACTTATACCTGGACGGAGGTAGCCCAAATAGAAAACAAACGATCGCACATGATTGCACTGAGCACCCGGTTTCAGCCACTGCAACCAACACCACAGCCCGACTCACTGCTGAATTGCTCGTCAGAAAGGCACCATCTGATGGTTCAGTAGTTCAACTCTGGCAGCAAACATCCGAAAACAACTTAGGCCAACAACGGAAATGGAATTGCATAACGACAATCGAAAGTGGGTTCACCGTTCCAGTAGCTGGTTTATGGCATGGGATAAATGTTGAGTACAACAAGAACTCCGAAATGTCCGAAAGGGACTGGCCAAGCTGCTTCATGGCTACTTCACAGCTGTCACGAAGGTCACCTTGGCGTTTTGCTTTTCTCCAATGATTGAAGCATGTTGATGTGCAATGAATGGCAGTCTGGTGAGGTCATTGCTAAGATATTTCAAACAGTAGTCTGGTCTTCACTCGACTTTTCCCAGGTTTGCTGCGACTGCTCGACAGTGTCGAGTGGGTTTCCTCACCGGTCCAAGCAAGGGGTTCGCTTTTCGTTCTTTGGAGTGTTTTTCCCGTTTCAGGCCCATCCGGATGCATCCGGCTACAGCGTTGTCAACCGCGGCATTGCAGCATCTGCAAAAAGACGTTTGTCGTCGTTTGTCCATCAGTCCACAAGAGGTCTGGCCATTGTGCCAAGTGAATTCGTTTGAGCCCCAAATCTTCGGGGGCATGAGCTTCAGGGTGTGGCTTCAAAAAGGAGGTGAACAGAACCAGAACTGGCCAACCAACAATTTCCAAGATGACCACGCCTTTGCAAGAATCTCACAAAAGAATCACCCTGAGCTCGCGAACTTTATCTTCCCCCTTCTCTGTTTGTCTAGATATATATAGATCGAAAGGACCACGATTCCCCACTGGGCGCCCCCTGCGCGCCGCAAGGACGTAACCGAAGCTACCACGCCCCACAAGGCGTTCCACCTGCGCAGCCTACCGGTGCCTGAGGTCCACCTGAAGTCCAACGGATGTCAAATGATGCTCAGGCCACTTTGGATACTGAGGGTCTTTGCCGCAAGTGCAGCTAGTCTAGCTTGTCGTTCATGTGTCAGTCGTGTTCGTTGTCTTCGCTGTAGCTGTCGCTGTAGCTGTGGCTGTTGCCGTCACCGTCGTTGTCTTCGGTTGTTGCTGTTGCTGTTGCTGCTTCTGCTGTTGTTGTTGTTGCTGCTGCTGTTGTTGGTGGTGGTGGTGGCGGCGGTTGTGGAGGTTGTTTCGTGGTGGTTGATATCATTTTTATTATTGGTGGCAGTGCTGTTGTTGATGTTGTTGTTGCCTGCTGTTGATGTCATGGAAATATCCGTCCATTGTTTGTTTCTCTTATCCTGTTCTTGATAATTTCCTTGTATTGGGTCTGCTTCAACCCTGTAACCCAACGATGGCATGATGGCCTCTTAGAGAAAAACAACTTTTCTAAAATAACATTACAACGGGACCCACAACAACTATTACTGTAAATAGAAAAGTGTCAATTCATCCAGAAAGGTATTGGACAGCAATGTCTATCCGACAAAGGATCAGATTTGCCCCACAAGCAGTTGACTGGCTGAGGACTTTGAGCTCAGCCGACTGTATGTTTTAGTGTTGTATGATCACATATTATCAACTCAGTTTTTGTTCACCCACCCGACGTCGTCAAAAGAACAGAAAGCACACATAAAATTATATATAATAAGGGGCATGGACGTCCCCATATCACCAAGCAAAGGTCTTCCACCGTCGTCTCTAGACTCTAAACAGCCAACCGTTTTGCAAAATGAACGACTTCCACCGAAATACACCCAGTGCGACTGGCGAAAGATCCCCCACGAAAGCACGACCCCGCGGGGACCCTGGCACGCCTGGAAGTGACCGAAGGCATCTCCTGCCTGTCTTACCGAGCCAGTCGAGAGTAATTCAATAATTGTAGGAGACAAATGGAGACAGGTCAAACAAACAGAAAAAGCACAGCAATTCAAATTTTCTTGTTAGCACTGCTGTTTCATGTTCCTCAAAGCTCGTCTACAATCTGGTTCGGTATACTACCCAGTCATACTTCCACAAGCCTGAGACTGAGACGCTCACTTCCCTGTGAACAATACGACCAAAAGTCCATGTGGTGTGATCAAGTCCAACAAACTGTAGCTTCAAAAATCACAACTGATTCCCAAGCCCTTGAGGAACACTCGCCTTCAGCCCACAGCTCAGAATTGGCAACGTCATCGGCAGTCGTCCCTGGTGGGCCAAGAAGCTTGAGACGTCAAGCCATGTAAAATCAGTAAAGATTTGTGGTTCTCTGGTGTCTATAGAATGGGCATCTTCCTTGGTTCAACAAGAAGCTACTAGGAACAAAGGGCATCGCTACTAGGAGCTCGGAAGCTACTAGTAGCTCCTGGCATTACTACTAGGAACGAGAAGTTCGCATCACGTTGTTTTGTCCTCGCCTCACTCCCCAGCTCCCGTCAGACCGGTCTTCCAACTGATGACCGTCCTAAGTGCACAAAACAGGCCGTCCCAACGACGCAAGTGGAGGCGAAGGGCTGCAATGTCAGGGGAGTCGACTCCTGGGAGTTATGGATTGGTCTCGCCGTGGCAATTGCGGCAATTCGGTCGACTCCAGGCAAGGTAGGTCGAGCTTGAAGACCATCCCAAACACCTACACAAACATGCATGGTGTGCTCCAAAATTAATGTTCGGGGAGTGTTTGCCGAGACATGTGGAGACCAACCAATGGCTTTTACTCGACTTGCCTCTTTCAAAGAGGCTGCCATGGCTGAGGAGTTCCGTTGTGACATACCATAAAAAATCTGTACAATGATCCTAGATGGACTAGAGAATTGGTCAACCGCAAAATTCATGCCTGATGGTGACAGACTTACGTGAATCCTGAGTTCATACACCAACATCTTATAGAGTCTTGGATATATATATATATATACATATATACATATTATATTATATACTATACACATGAACTCTCTTGCAATCCTCCACTCAGACTTTTCCATGAGTCTTGCCATCTGAGGTCAAAACTTGACATTAATATCATGAATTCTCCTTGCTCTCGGCCATATGGGTCCAAATGCTGTGTGAATTGCTTAATTACTAGAAAACATGGAAAAAAACACACGCCCTCCTTTGATCTAAGCTATCCGGCCGCGACTGGTGCGGCCGAGGCTGAGGGCGAATGGCCGGCGCACGCGCTGCGCTGGCTGCGCGCTCGGCCGCCCTAGAGAAACGGCATGGCCTGGAAGGGAGCAAGGCGCAGCATCGAATGACTTGACTGAAAGGCCCTAGTAGCTTCTTGTTCCTAGTAGTAAGGCCAGGAGCCCCTAGTAGCGTCCTTGCTCCTAGTAGCGATGCCAGGAGCCCCCAGTAGCTTCTTGTGTACCCAGAGATACCCAGAGGGGTCCAGGACCAAATTGTTTCCTCGTGCACTCTCTGATCCAAAGAGCCCCTTCAGCATCCACTTACCTGAGAAGATCGGGGTCTTTGGGGTGGACGAATGAAGGTGTTAGTAATAAGTGCATCGCTACGTTCGTTGCTTCTTGCTACTACTCATGCCCTTGTTATTAGTTGCGATGCACTTCTTACCTTTGGCTCCAATGGGCTCTTGGATCACACAGGGCCCGCATGAGCTCTTCAACCCCACCTGGTCGAAACGGCAGCGCCCCTTCGTAGCGCCCCGTCTGGAGCCACGCTTGAAAAAACCGATGCAACCACGCACAACGCCATGAGTCCTCGTGACGACTCAAAAGGCGGATTTACATTCCATTGTCTTATAGGTACTAGTAGCTTCTTGCTACTGGTAGCGATGGCCTCCCCCTAGTAGCGTCCTTGCTACTAGTAGTAGTAATGGCCTCCAACCTAGCTTCTTGTCAACCGTCAACCTGCGACTTCTTCGCCCCGTGTGGTTTTCTTTGGAGTCTGACGCACGTCTTGGTCTTTCCACTCGAGAAACAAAGCTTCCTTCCATCTGCCAAGTGCTGCTTTCATCCGCTTTCCACATCAGCGCATTGAGATAGCTAAAACACGTTCTTTTTTTTCACCATCCAGCCCGTGCATGTGAGACCCCCACATGCTACCAAAGCTTGCTCACAAGCTCAAAAGTTGCTCCTGAAGCCACAAGGGATGAGGTTCTCTTGAATACACTTGTTCGAGCAACAAAAGGCACCCACCATCAGCTTTCTTTATGACTACAAAGACTACCCTCGCAAAGAATAATCTGCAGAAGCGTCTGAACGCTGCAACGGCAAATTCCTTCCAAAGTTTAGAACAATTGGGCCAACCTAACCTGGGGTGTTTTCAGACCGAAGCGATGCCTGGAAACCAGTAACCGAAGCCCACGAACCGCTGGACACTTGGCACCTCCTCCATACCTTTGAAATGGGCCTGTCACCCAGGATCACCCAGGTGTCCAAATCAGAAGGTGGCTTGACGCTTGACTGAGCGTGGGTGACCCTTGAGACTGTGAGAAGCATCGACTCGCCAGCTCTTCAGCCAGGACATTCCCCAGGTGAGCACAAATACTCACGCGCGGGTGAGCAAACCCAAAAACAGTCCTGTCTGCCCTCTTGAACATGATCGAAATCACGGCATTTTTGTACTGCACACTTCACCCAAGCAGGTGGGAGGTTGTTAAGTGGGATTTGTTGTGCAGTTCTTGCATATCATTTGTGCCGAAGTGACCGCTCCCGCTCCCGTTGGATAGGGTGAAGAATCGAGCATATGGCACATGGCCGGTCCTTTCGATGTCATCCTCTCTGGAGGAGCACTGGCCGGTCCATGAGTGGCTGACTAGCCAGGCTGACATCTTGGACCAGCAACAAATTCACGCTGTTTTGCCACGGTGTTTTCTGGCTCTCCCAGATTCTTGAAGACCAGTGTCCAAACCTTCCCCACTCTGGACTCTTCAAAGGCATCTTCGAATCAGACGTACCATTGCACAGTACCATTGTCCTAGGGAATCTGTAGAACCGACTTGAAAGTTCTAGTGTATGGTTTGCAGGAAAACCAATTGCAGGTTTGATTGAGAGAGGATTGAGAGGATTAATCAATTTGCAGGCCTTGCTTTGTCTTGTTTCCGGCATCCAACTCTACAGGATGTTTGTTTTCACTTGCAAGAATCAGTATGATTGATTTGCAAAAATTTCCCCGCACAACAGGCAACACGGACACAAAGAGGATCTCACCATACCCTATATAACTCCATGCCCTTGTTTGTGGTGCCTTCTGGGCAAAACCGCGGAAAAGCCATACACAACAAGAACGTACATCTACACAAGCTAAGCCAAGGAGTCCATATTTGGGGTCTATCCCATTATATATCACTAACAGTAAATTTAAATGATGATGATTAGTGAAGGCCTTGTTCAACAATTGTGACAATATGTGAATCAGTATTCACTGACTCTTGGTAAGAAGAGACAGACCTGACACATACAGTCTATTTTTCTCAGATCCATCAGACCGAACACAACGGGAACGAACTCTCGTTCGACCTTCCCCTCCCGACCTTGCAACCTTGCGCATGGGTTCTGGAAGAGGTTTCGGAGCAACTTGAACCCAAATCATGCCTCTTTTTTGAAATACCCTAAGAACCAAACTGAATAGTGCGAGAAGCTCCCCTCGTTTTCAGGCAGTGGTAGCTTCCTTGAGGAAGTAGAGTGAGCTATCCTGCGTTCGTTTGCTAGTAGCAGGTGACCTAGTAGTTTGTTTCGCCCTTACTGAATCAACTAGGCGCGGGCTTTAAAAGAACAGGACACCGGAATCGGAACTGCAACCGATGCACCGCGGTCGATTCATGTCTATTCTCAAAACCGGTCGATTTCAGCCTCCACAGCTGGGTTTAGATCCACCGCTGGCGAAATAGACATCCTCCATGAGGAACCAACCAATAGACTAGGCCTGATCCAAGGACATGTCTAGTCCGACAGGTCAAATAATTGACAGTCTTACAAGCGCATGCACCTGGACTGATTGATCTAATCCTCTAAGTTTGGGTCTCTATCACCATATCCGTCCGACTTGACCATTGCATGTTTGGACCCTCATCATCCATGACTTGGCAAACAACAATATTGGTATGTTATGATATGGTCATAATATAGAATATAGTCTATGCAGGTTCAGAGCCCATGAAAACGCCACGCTGCAGCGCCACAGCATCCTCGTAGCACAAACCCTCACACATGGTCACAGTCTGCTAGAAAGGCAATCTTCTAGAACGACTTGTCCTATTGCACGGTAACATGTGGCGACCATCCCAGTAGCTAGATCTGGCAGTCCATTTGACACAGACTCGTGTTTGCAGAATTTCTGCAGCTGTTATCTTGAATCTTTGAGTACAAATCTATATCCGTGATATTCTTGATAAACAATGATAAACATTACGCCAAAAGTAAGAACCCCAACAGCTCTCGCTACTGGTAGGAAAAAAAACACGCTAGCTAGTTCTGTCGGTCCTTCAATTTGAACCTCAATCAGCCTTTAGTATAGAGAAAAAAACGGCCTGAGGATTTAAGGATGTACTTTGGTTCTGAAACCCATTCCAAAGTCTTGAACTGTCCAGGGTGCATTCTTCTTCCCCCTTCATGAGACATCTGCTACAAATTGACTTCCCAAATGAATGCCATCTGGTGAAGAAACATATCTACGCATACATGTTCCGTCACTCTCACGTTTTGTCTCTTCCAGGAAGGGGTTCGTTGGCTGCCTTTTCGGCTGATCCGATGAAAGTTCGGTCCATCAGCGGTTTCTGGGCGGCACGGCTCAGTGGGCACAGACCGCATCTCGGCGACCTGAAGTGGAAGAGAGTCCTTGCTCCTAGTAGCTTCTTGTTCCTAGTAACAAGTGCATCGCTAGTAGTAACAAGTGCCTTACTACTAGTAACAAGAAGCGAACGTAGAAACAATAAGCTAATAGCTTCTTGTTACTAGTAGCAAGGCCAGGAGCCCCTAGTCGTCCGATCGCTCCTAGTAGTAATGCCATGTAATGCCCTTTGTTACTAGTAGCGGGATTGCTGAGGGGGTCACCTGGTGGTCACCTCTCTCAGAAGATGGAAAGACTCGGAGAGACCACTTCTTCTACATGGCTTCTAGTCCCTGTTCCAATGCACAGTCATCACAAAATTAGCTGTGTCTCGGTGGAAGACTGGGAAGGACTAGAACAGTGATTTGCTATGTTTTGCAGAGTTGGTGTATTTCAAGCAGGAAGTCCTTAAATAAGGGAGCTGCGTGACTCTTGAGAAATCAACTGTCGATAGCACAACTCTTGATGGATCTACCAATGCCATGAAACCACACCATCGTTTCTCTGCCGCGTCCCACCGAAAACGGAGACAGCAAAATAGGTGATGAACATTGGGATGTCATCCTATATGGGATTCTTGTTTTGTACCTCCAGTACCTCCACAAGTGGAAGGGCTGTGAAGTGCAAGTCGTCGTGGCACCTCAAACTCATGAGAACTTCCAAGATCCCCCGAACGCAAACAACCGACAAGCATGAGTCCCTGTAGTTGAGGCTTGCCACGGCATCTCAGGAAGAACTGAAATCAACTTGGCAAGAATTCATGTTGGGAAGGTCCACCAGTAACTGCCCGAGACTGTTGATCAAAGGTCAAAAGCCCTCTTGATCTCATGTTCACCTTGCTAGACCTCAATAGCATTGACATGTTGGTCGAAGAAGCTACTAGGTGGAGGCCATCGCAAGTAGGTTGGAGGCCATCGCTACTAGGAGCAAGAAGCTACTATAGGTGGAGGCCACGCAAGTAGGTTGGAGGCCATCGCTACTAGGAGCAAGAAGCTACTAGGTGGAGGCCATCGCAAGTAGGTTGGAGGCCATCGCTTCTATAGGAGCAAGAAACTACTAGGGGAGGCCATCGCAAGTAGGTTGGAGGCCATCGCTACTAGGAGCAAGAAGCTACTAGGTGGAGGCCATCGCAAGTAGGTTGGAGGCCATCGCTACTAGGAGCAAGAAGCTACTAGGTGGAGGCCATCGCAAGTAGGTTGGAGGCCATCGCTACTAGGAGCAAAAAGCTACTAGGTGGAGGCCATCGCAAGTAGGTTGGAGGCCATCGCTACTAGGAGCAAGAAGCTACTGGGTGGAGGCCATCGCAAGTAGGTTGGAGGCCTTCGCAAGTAGGTTGGAGGCCATCGCAAGTAGGTTGGAGGTCATCGCAACTAGGAGAAAGAAGCTACTAGTAGCAAGGACTTCAAGACCACCGACCACCGAACCCACACCACATCACACCACCCCACGGAGCACTGAAGCAGACTTCGCCCAGACTGTCGGGTCCGTATGGTCCGTCGACCGGGCGACCCCAGCTTAACGGTTCTCGCCACAGCTCCCGTTGTCGGTGTCGAAACTCCGACTGGGAGTGGCAGTCCAAGAGGCGATGTGGGCATCAGTGGTTCCGAATGAGAAGCATATGCAAAATAAAGCCTTTCCAACATTCCTGAGGTTGCAGTAACTACTGGACTTGTCAGCATCGAAGAACTGAGTGCCAGTTTTTGCTGGGGCTGTGGCAAACACCTGATGGTCTTGAGACTGTTGAAACCATTCCGACCAATCGGATTGCTTTCAATGCTCTAACTATCTCTAACTCTAACGGCGCCTTGCAGTCCAGTGCTTCAGGGATTCATCCAGTGAGCTCTGGATTTGTCAAAGGAACAGTTCTGCATCCACCATCTCCAATTCAGAATTCCATGGCT